TCAATCATTAAAGGACAAATATTGCATGAGACCACTATTATAAGAACTCAAGTAAAGTTTCAAACACAGTACTAAACATTCTTTGATGGTGACGAGGGAGAAGGGAATTCACTACCTAGATAGTAGACAAGAATCATCTTAGGTGAAGGGAAGGACAACACACAATACAGGGGAAGTCAGCACCACTGGACAAAACCAAAAGCTAAGAAGTTTCCTGAAACAACCAAACACTTCAAGGGACAGTGTAGCAGGGGCAGAGGTCTGGGAACCATGGTTTCAGGGGACATCTAGGTCAATTGACATGAAGTTTATTAAGAAAATGTTCTGCATCCCACTTTGGTGAGTGGCGTCTGGAGTCTCAAAAGCTAGCGAGCGGCCATCTAAGATGCATCAGTTGGTCCCAACCCACCTGGAACAAAGGAGAATGAAGAACACCAAAGACACAAGGAAAATATTACCCAAGAGACAAAAGAGGCCATGTAAACCAGTGACTCCATCAGCCTGAGACCAGAAGAACTAGATGGTGCCTGGCTACCACCAATGACTGCCCTGACAGGGAACACAAGCGAGAGTCCCTGATGGAACGGGAGAAAAGTGGGGTGCAGAAATCAAATTCATGTAAAAAGATCAGACTTAGGTCTGACTGAGACTGGAGGAACCCTCGAAGATGTGGCCCCCGGACTCTCTGCTAACCCAGAGCTAAAATGATTCCCAAAGCCAACTCTTCAGACAAAGAGTAGACTGCACTATAAAACATAAAATAATACTCGTGAAGAGTGTGCTTCTTAGTTCAAGTAGATACACAAGACTAAATGGGCAGCTCCTGTCCGGAAGTAGGATGGGAAGGCAGAAAGGGACAGGAGCTGGTTGGATAGACACGGGAAGCCCGGGGTGGAAAGCGGGAGTGTGCTGTCACATTATAGCAATTGCAACTAGTGTCACGTAACAATATGTGTATAAATTTTTGTATGAGAAATTAACTTGAGCTGTAAACTTTCACCTAGAGCACAATAAAAATAAATAAATAAATAAAATAAATCAACTCAGCAAAAAAAGAAATATGGAAGACAGCTACCTGGCCAACCTACTGGAAGAGATCCATATTTGTGCCCATTCCAAAGAAGGGTGATCCAACAGAATGCAAAAATTATTGAACAATATCATTAATATCATACACAAGTAAAATTTTGCTGAGGATAATTCAAAAGTGGTTGCACCAGTATATCAACAGGGAATTGCCAGAAATTCAAGCCAGATTCAGAAGTGGACATACAACAAGGGACGTCACTGCATACGTCAGATGGATCTTGGCTTAAAGCAGGGAATACAAGAAAGATGTTAACAGTCATTCAACTGTGTGAATCATTAGAATTTATGGATAACATTGCGAAGAATCGGAATTCCAGAGCACTTAATTGTGCTCATGAGGAACCTGTACGTAGACCAAGAGACAGTCGTTCAAACAGAACAAGGGGTACTTCATGGTTTAAAATCAGGAAGGGTGTGCGTCAGGGTTGTATCTTCACCACACTTATTCAATCAGTATGCTGAGCAAATAATCTGAGAAGCTGGACTATACAAAGAACACAACATTAGGATTGCAGGAAGATTTATTAACCACCTGTGATATGCAGATGACACAACTTTGCTTGCTGAATGCTAAGAGGACTTGAAGCACTTACTGATGAAGATCAGATACTACAGCCTTTAGTATGGATTATACCTCAACATAAAGAAAACAAATATCTTCACAACTGTACTAATAAGCAACATTATGATAAACAGAGAAAATACTGAAGTTGTCAAGGATTTCATTTTACTTGGATCCACGATCAATGCCTATGGAAGCAGAAGTCAAGAAATCAAACCATGTATTGCATTGGGAAAATCTGCTGGAAAACACACCTTTAAATCGTTCAAAAGCAAAGATGTCACTTTG